GGGGCGCGGCCACCTGCCCAAGGGCACACAGCTGACTGGGCTGAGGATTCTGGCTTTTGGGTACAAACTGGGGACCTGGGTTTTGCTTGCTCTGCAGTCTTGATTTGGGCTTCAGCTCTGCCCGGGGTCCCTGGCATCTTGAGGCAGTTGCTGACCCCTCAGGGGCCTGAGCATTGAACCCCTGCCCCAGAGTGCTCGGCTGGTTTCTGTGGCTGGAAGATTCAACCCCCCCCCCACTCCTGCACCCTGGTGCCAGTGTGAATGTGCCCCTCGAATCTCATGTGTTGGACACTCAATCCCAAATTCATGTTACTGGCACTTGGAGGTGGGGCCTTTGGGATATGATTAGAGAATGTCATGAAGGTGAGGCCCCAAGGTGGCTTTAGTGGCTTCACAAGTAGAGGAAGAGATCCCAGCTGACAGACTTGCTGTGTTTCACCATGTGCCAGGTTAGATGCAGCTTGGGGCCCTCACCAGATGTCAAGAAGATGCTGGCACCATGCACTTGGACTTCCCAGCCTCCAGAACCATGAGCTAAGCAGACCTCTGTTCTTATAGATCACCTTGTCTCCAGCATTTTGTTATAGCAACTGAAAACGTACTAAGACAAAGGGAACGTGCACTATGGGAAGGGACACCCCAAGCCACATGTCAGTTCATGGAAAGTTCTAGAGGAGCTTCCAGAGAAAGCTAGGGTCTTATCCTGCAGGGGTGGGAAAGGGACAGGAGGAGCTGAGTAGAAGAGGTGACAGACTTGTCCCTGAGTGAGTGCCTCAACAGCCCTGGAAGAATCCTGCTCCCCAGTCCAGCCCATGCTGCGAGAGGCCTGGAGTGCTAAGCCCCTGCAGCCACGCCAGGGATTTTGAGTTGAGGCTACAGTGATGGTTGGCGGCAAAGCTGCCGCTGGTCCCCAGTGTGGCCGCTTGTCTGTCTGCTGGGCGTCTTGGGCCATGCTCTTGACCTGTGGTTCTTAGACCTCACCAAGTGTCACGGCCCAGACTGCTGACCTTGACAGAGGCCCAGGCTCCCCGAGGACAGGGCTGGCCCTGGGTGTCTACAAAGTCCCACAGGTGAGCCAGGTGGGTGAGCCGCTGACCTGGTGGCTTGCTGCTCCAGATGTGGCCTGTGGACCTGCAATGTGGGCCTTGCCTGGAGCTGCAGAATGCAGAACCTCGCCCCCAGCTCAGGCCTCCTCAGCCAACCTAGGAGGGACCAGGATCGCAGGCACAAGGGTACTTGGAAGTCCCGACAGCCAAAGGGGACAGCCTAGGGGATCAGGGACCGTCTAGGGGACTCTCCACACCCAGCTCTGGCTTGCCGACACACTCCATTGTGTCCCATTCCCATGGCAACCCCAGAGGGGCACTTTTTTCTATTTTACAGAAGACGACACTGAGGGTCAGAGAGGTGAGTGACTTCTGAGTCACAGGTCCATGGATGGGGACTGGGATTGGAAACCCAGAGGTCCCATGCTGGTCCCCACTGCACCCCGTCACCCTTAAGCCAGAATATGATCAGCAATGACTTCAGAGCCAACTTCCCAATGATTTCAGCTTAACTCACCGTGGCAGGACCTAGACAAAAAATGACACCAACGTTCATCCACCAGGAAGGAGACCAGACAGGGTTTCCTCGTCGACCCTAAAGTCCAGCCCCCAGGACAGGACCCCTATGTCCTAGTGCCCCAAGCCTTCCCCCGAGAGTCCCTGCAAAGAGCCCGCGGGCTTACCGTGCTCGTCCAGCAGGATGTTGTCTGGCTTGATGTCCCTGGAAAAGAAAACAGAGCGGCTGGCAGTGTGTTCCTGGGGCCCGCTGAGAAGCGTCACAGACTGCGGGGCAGAGGTGACAACACCCTGTGTGCTCGTCCCTCCCCGCACAAGGCCTCAGAGGGGGCGGGTGTGACCGGCAAGGGGCCCTGTCCTCCTTCCTTCTCCTCTGGAGTGGCTAGCAGGTGGAAAATGTATCCCTCAGTGTCACTAACGGGCGGCCTCCTGCCCCACCTCCACGGTCATAGGAACCCCGGATGTGGACATTTAGATGTCAGTCTTCCCCGTCACCCTGGACTGCAGAGTGGTAGGTCGTCTGCGTCCGCCCTGCGGGCGCCACTGCCTGGCTGACCCTCCTGGGTAGCAAAGAGCCTCGCGCAGCTCAGCCAGGGCTGGGGATCTGGAAGTTCTGCGCTACGTCCTCATCAGAGCAAAGGCCCCCGGCTCCAGCTGGCTCTCCACAGCCAGGGCCTTGCTCCTGCGCTCTGTCCCTGGCACGGCTGGGTCACTGTGAGCACAAGGAAACCCCGGCGGGCACCGCGGGAGAGTGGACCTGAGGCACCAGCTCCGACATCCCACTCATCGCTAACGGCACGAGCCTGCTGACGCTCGCAGGGACCCAGAGTGGACAGACACGCGCCCCACGCGGGCTTGAGGTCAGGAGACGAGGCCCACGACTGCTCTCTCCACATAAAGAGCAGTCGCTCCTGCGCTGCTCAGGTATCAATCCCACCGACACTCACGGAGGTCATGTGTGACAGGCTGTGCCACGTCACACAGGCGTGGACCCAGTCAGCAAACGCCGCTCCCACCCGGGGGGCTCCCAGCAGGTTCTCTCAAGCAGGCGTGAGAGGAGGGGAGACGAGGCGTGTGTCCTGATGTCCACACGCAGCTGAGGCTGGGGCTCCTCCCACGGCGTCCTGGGGCTGGCGCGGCCCGGCTGGGCATGGGGGCCAGGCAGGAGGGGGCTGAGGTCCAGGGCACACGGACCACAAAACCCCCGGGAGGCCACGGCCCAGAGACAGCGTCACGCCAGGACAGAGGTGGGGAGCGTGGGACGACAGACCCCAGCTGTGGCCAGGTGTGCGCGGGGCTGAATAGTGTCCCCCACTCCCGTCCCCCCCCTCAGAACACCACCTTCTCTGGAAATGGGACCTTCTGGATGTGATTAGTCAAGAATGTCAAGAGGACACTCTCCTGGATGTAGGGCCACCCCAAATCCAGTGACCTGGGTCTTTACAGGGGAAGGAGACAGGGGTTTGGACACACAGAGGAGATATGGGGCAGACCCTGGGGTGACACAGCCACAAGTCAAGGAGGCCCGGGGCCAGCAGTGGCAGGAGGCCAGGGGAACCTCCCGTGGGCCTGTGGAGGAAGCACAGGACTGATGAGTGTGTGTATGTGCGTGTGTATGTGTGTGTGTGTGTGTGTGTGTATGTGTGTGTGCGTGTATGTGCGTGTGTGTGCGTGTATGTGTGTGTGTGTGTGTGTATTTTTTGGTACTGGGGATCTAACTCAGGGGTGCTTTACTACTGAGCTGCATCCCGAGCCCTTTTTCCTTTCTATTTTGAGACAGGGCCTCACTAAGGGCTGAGGACAGCCTCAAACTTGTCATCCTCCTTCCCCAGCCTTCCGAGTAACTGGGGTGATAGGAACGAGCCACAGCACCGGGCAGTTCAGGTTATTGTAAATACCAATGTTGTGGTCATTGGCTGTGACGGCTGCAGGAAGCCAGTGGTGGAAGGAGAGGGGGCCACAACTCGAGAGGTAGCCAGGGCACCCACTCACCACAGAATCACTTTAGACAGGGCCACCACCCCTCCAAGCCCCCACCCCCTGCTGATGGCATCTAGTCCATGAGGATCGGGGGACAGACACAACCAGCGTGGTCACCAGACCCCAGACTCCAAGGAAAGGAGCTGTCCTGTCTGGGGGCCCAGCATAGGCATTGGCTCCCTGGTTCTGACCACGCTCAGCCAGCCCCGCTGCCTGCTGTGCAAGTCCTGCCTCTCTGCCTCCTTTGCTGAGTGCGTTAAGTGTCTGGATCATGGCCGGTTCCTTCTACAGCACTCTCAGCCCAGAGCAGAGTCTCAAGCATTTATGGGTGGCCCTCGGTAGCTACCAGGGACAAAGAATAAGACACACCTGGCCCAATGGACCTGGTGTCTTGGTGGGCTAGGGGCAGGACAGAGAGCATGTGAATAAGTGTCAAGCAGGCAAGTTGGGACAAGTGCTTTGAAGAAACGGGACACAGCTCTGGAAGAGTCCTACAGGGGGCCTGACTTCTGGTGCGCAGCCAGGGAAGCCTCTCAGGAGGGGTGGCACAGAGCTGGCATGCCAGAGCAGGGGAGGCTGGCTCTGCACGGTACAGGGGGCAGGTCTGGTTTTGCAGACAAGGTTGGGGGTGGTGAGGAGAGACTGTTGCACGGTGACAAGCTTCTGGCCCATGGAGTATGGCCGAGGTGAAGGGAGGCACTCCCTGATCTGGTTGTCACATGGCAAAGTGACGAGTCCTGCCCCTGATTATGCTAGCCAGTGCAGACTGGGTGAGGACCGCCTTCCTGGCTTGGGATAGAAGCTGCCAGGTGGGAGTGGGCCGTAGGCAGGACATGCAGCTGCCCCCAGGAGTCAGGTAGCCTCTGGCCAGTGAGTAGAAGGAGAATGGGGACCTCGGGCCTCCAGCCATAGGGACAGAGCTCTGCCCGCCACCGTGAGAGCTGGGAGAGGATGCTGACCTCCAGGGAAGAATGCAGCCCAGGGCCAGGGGCTTGCAGTCCCCTGAGTCCAGAAGCAAAGGAGCAGGAGAGCTGGCAGCACCCTGGCCCGTGGCTGGAGAGGAAGAGCGTGGGTAGTTAAGCCACCAAGTTGGTGTGGACTGGTGAGGCAGACGCAGCACCCTAGCCGAGACCCTGTGGTCTCCGAGCCTCATCTTCCTTGTCTGGGAAACGGTGGTGACAGCAGCCACCTTGGTGCGGTTAAGTGTAGGAACCCAGAGCAGAGGTGCCGCAGGTCCAAGTGCCGAGGGTGACACCGGGCTGCGAGAGGTTCTCCTTAAAGGAGAGAGCTCTGGGGACAAGTCTCCAAGTTTGAGCAAGATGAATTCGGTTGCTTTTCCATGAGACTCATGGGGCAGAGCCGTGCGGAAGAGGCCGCGGGTCCGAGGCACTGGGAATCTAATAAGCAGAGCGTTTTATGGCAGAGCATCTTATCAGAGCCGCGCTCAGCGGCTGCAGGGCCGTTTCCACCAGGCCTATTTTTCACATTGATTGTATCTCAGCTCCAAAGCGGCCTCCTGTTGAAAATGGGCTCCTACATCCAGAAAGGGCATTGGAAGACGGTGTGGATGGGGACGGATGGGACGATGTTTTCTGAGGCCAAACTCATAAATTCAGAGCTGGCAAAATGACACTGTGACAGAAAGCATGCATGAGAGGCTACCCAACCCTGCTCTCGAATTATCCCCGGCCCTCAGATAAAACGCGCCGTCAAATGTCAGCCAGGCCATTTTACAGCCACAGGGACGTGGCCGTGATCCAGCAGAGCCCATGCCCAGGCTGCCACGGAGGGTCGCGAGGACGCTCCTGCCCGCACCCCTGCGCGGAGCCTCTGAGGGTGCCTGCTGCCATCTTGCCCAGCAGCAAAGGCAAGAGCAGCCCAGTGGAGAAAGGGCTGGGCTGGTGCAGTGGACATCTGGGTCCACAGTGCAGGGGATGCACTGTCGGTGTGCATGGGTGGCCGGGAGGTGCAGACAGACGCAAGAGACCAGTCCCCAGCCTGCCTCTTGCTAGCCGTGGAGACGTGAGCCCACGGACCACCCTGAGCCTCGGTCCCCCCAGCTGTATGCTGGGTGGTTACACCTGCTCCACGTGGTTCAACGAGGATTTGGAGAGCTGGTCCCCATGGGAGGGACCGGAGCAGAGTGGCACAGGGAGGCAGACCTGCTGCTGCCATAGAGCAGGGCCAAGGCTGCCAGGGCTGAGGCCCAGCCCACAGAGCAGGCGCTGGGAAGGGGACGGGAGGCCGTTACAGGGAGTGACCTTGGCCGCCGACCCCTGGCTTGGCCAGCACTGATGGGGTAAGCTGACGGGGGGCAGGCGGCTGAGGAGCTGGGCTCTGACGCTGGACTCCATTGGCAGGGATCCAGCTTGTGGAATCAGTAACAAGAACGTGGACGCATGGCTACTCACTGAATGCCCTCCTTTCTCCTGCTTCCTGTGGCGGCAGGGCTGTCACGGACCTCACCCGGGCACCAAGCCTCATGTCAGTGGCAGGGCTGGCGAGGTTGACAGCTGTCCTGGCCAGTGTGCACTGAAGCCCAGTCTGTGGATTTAACAACGTGTGCAGGGTACAGGGCTGGGGACCGTGGGGGCATTTTACACGTCACTTCACTCAGTGCTGACACAGCTCCCCGAGGCAGCCGTAAGAAAGAACCTTCAGAGAGGGTCAACAGTGTGCCAGGCTCCCTGTGACTCTCCAGAGACCAGACGTCAGCACAGGCGAGGCGGTTCTCCAGATCTGTGCTCTCGGGCTGGGGTGTGGGCCTGGAAGGGAACTAGGGATCTCGAGGCCTAAAGCCAGCAGCACTGATTCAAGGAGACACATACAACAAATACTTCATTTAAAAATGACATTATTTGCATTTCTGAGTGCTTTTTATCTGGTACAGAAAACCTGACAAATAAGGCTGCAATTTCTCTTTTAACATGACCCAAATGGCCTCCCAAAGCCGAACTCGGCCCTGTCCCTCCTCTACCTAAATCCCCTTATGGTCTCTGTTGCCTGCAGCACTGGTGGGCAGGCCCCGGGATTCTGTGTTCCAATATGACCTCAGAAATGAAAAGGGAACAATGAACCAACCTAGATGCCCTTCAATAGATGAATGGATTAAAAAATGTGGCATTTATACACAGTGGAATATTACTCAGCACTAAAAATTAATAAAATCATGGCATTTGCAGGCAAATGGATGGCATTAGAGCAGATTATGCTAAGTGAAGTTAG